AAGAATTGTCAGAGGTAGTTGGCGGCAGAGGGGACGAGGAAGTGGCTGGCGGAGGGACGGCGACTGGTGCGGTCCGAGAGGTATAGTTGATCCGCAGGCGTCCAACAAGTCCGATTCGAGCCTGCAATGTCCGTTGACACCAAGGGCGCATAGGTAGCGGTTGTGCATCGGCGTTGCGGACTGGGCGCAGTTGTGATTTGCGGGCTTCGCGTTTCGCTTTGGCGGCGGCGATGCGGTTGGCTTCGTAGAGAGCAGCTCCCGTCTTCACTGTTCTCCTCCAGGTCGGACGATTGCGGGCGAGCTCTTCTCAGTTGGTCAAGTTGATTTGCAGGAGCTTCAGGGAGGACTTCAGACTGTCCTTGTATCGACGAATTAGATCACCTTGGCGGCGTGAACCCGTCGCGACGTCTTCGTAGGAGAGTCGTTTGGGTATTCGCTCGTCGTGCATGCGCACCAGGTGGCCGCTCCAGCGCAGCTGCATTTGTCTCAGCATGGTGTAGATTCTGAGGATTTCCGTCCGTTCCAGCACGTCAGTGTCGGAGATTTGATCCTGTCAGTTCAGCCACAGGATGCGACGGAGACAACTGAAATTGAAGTGGTTCAGTCGGCGTTCCCGCAAAAACGATAGCCAGGACTTTCCCAGGGAGTGCTTGGGCACAATCTACGATGGGATCGCCCGGTGTGAAATCCAACTGAAGACTGCGGTTAATGCCTCCTTGACCGCCGCTGCCTCGAGTGGTTTCCTCTCCGATGGTGGCGGTCTGAGCATTGTGGACGATGCTCCACCGACGACGTTGAGCGGATCTAGTCTCAGCGGCCAACACCTTGACAAAATCAGCCGCGAAAGAGAGGCTCTGGCTCAGAGCGCTCGCGAGCTAATGGAATCTGTGAGTGCATCTATCTTCTTCATAACTTGCCCCTCTCCAACCGATGTGCGTGTATGTGTGTGCGTGTTTTGGATGTATTGGATGCGTGTGAGTGTAGGGGTGTCAGCGGTGGGTTCACATGATAGTCGTATTGGTCACTCACTTGCTTGCAGGTGAGACTACGCCTAGCGTCCACTTGCTGGCACCCAAGTCTCACATGTGGCTCCACGTAGCTGGACTCTGCTCAGCGGCCACACCCCGGGCAACCGCCTCGACCGGTGGGCTAAACCAGGTGAGGGTATCCGTGCGCGTACCTGCTCACACGGTGTTGTGGTCTCCGCTGGCCGGATGGATCTTCGCGTCGACATCGTCAAGACGAGGCTCTGCCTGAACCATCGCAGGAGGCCATCAGGTAAGTGATTCTTCAGATAAGTGAATTTACATTGTTCCTTCATTTTGTCCGTTTAAGTTCCGTGTTGTATGCTGCTCATGCTGCCTGCCCTCTCTATGTTAATGCGTGCCTCTGTCTGTTAATAACTAGATGAGAACTGTGCTTGATCTCGAATGATGTCATTCCTAACTTGTCGCACTCGCCCTTATATTTGCCTGCTTAATTCCTGCTTTCTGTCGCTCTTGATGCCTGCTGCGACTGTCTGTCTGTCAGTGTATGCCTCTCACTGCTAATAGCTAGGTGTTACTGTGTTTGATCTTGAAGGATGCCCTCCTACTTCTGTCTTTGACTGAGTACTGTCTGCCTGTGCATTCTAGCTGTAAGTACCATAGCATTATGTTGGTGTGTTTGCCCTCTCCTACTCAACTCCATCACCACCAAGGCCCCAGGCTAACTCGGGTCGTTCTCTCACTACCCAAAATTCGTGACCCATAGTGAAGTCCGGCAGCCGTCTGGGATAACCGGGCAGCCCTATTTAGGGGGTGCGCTGCCTGCCCCCGCGAGGGGGAGGGGGCAAGAAAAGATGCCCTAAAAATTGCTGGGAGCCACGCTGTTTGTAGGCTGGCCGTGGCCGCAGACAAAAGACACGGTCGAAACAGCCAAAACCGAAACAACAACAGCAACAACAATCTCTCTCATCCTCGTCCAGTGTATTCTCCTTCTTCCACTAGTCCTAGTATTTGCCGCCGCAATCGCCAGACTGGCAGGGTGAGTCCGCCCACTCTGGCAGCCTGGAATGTTCGTTCACTTTTAGACAATCCAAGGAGCAACCGACCGGAACGGAGGACAGCGCTAGTGGCCCGGGAACTGGCGCGCTACAAGGTGGACATCGCCGCATTCAGCGAGACCTGATTCTCCGAACAAGGCCAACTGGAGGAGGTGGGTGCCGACTACACCTTCTTCTGGAGTGGTCGCCTTAGGACAGAGCGACGAGACGCGGGTGTCGCCTTCGTCATCCGGAACGACATCGTGGGACCAATGCTCTGTTTGCCGCAGGGCATCAAGGATCGCCTGATGAGCCTCCGTCTGCCTCTCCGAGGTGGGGGCAAATTCGCCATCATCGTCAGCGCTTACGCTTCGCCGATGAGCAGCCCCGACGCCACCGCAAGAGACAAATTATACGAAGACCTACACGCACTCCTGGCAACTGCGTCGGAGGCGGACAAGTTGATTGTCCTTGGCGACTTCAACGCCCGCGTTGGCACCGACCATACTGCCTGGAGAGGAGTGCTGGGTTCCCACGGTCTACAAGGCTCAAACGACAATGGCCTGCTGCTCCTCCGTACCTGCGCAGAACACCGCCTCATCCTGACGAACACGTTCTTCTGTGTGCCGGAGCGAGAGAAGGCCACCTGGAGGCATCCTCGGTCGCGTCAGTGGTACCTGCTGGACTATGTCCTCGTCCGGAGGCGAGATCAGTGGGACGTGCTGGTGACGGTTAGACAACCTCCCAATCGCTGCCGACGGCGCCGCTGCCGAGAACGCCTACGGGGAGAACCGCTGGTGTCAACTGCGAGACACGGTCCAGTCGACGGCGCTCGCCGTCCTCGGTCGCGCTCCCCGCCAACACCAGAACTGGTTCGACGACAACGACACCGCCATCAGAAATCTGCTCGCCGAGAGGAACCGCCTAAACAGAGCCTACGTAGACCACCCCACTGATTACAACAAAGCTGCTTTTTACCGCAGTCGCCGCCACCTTCAGCAACGACTGCGCGAGATGCAGGACGCCTGGACTGCCCGCAAAGCTGAGGAGATCCAAGGGTACGCGGACCGCAACGAGTGGATGAACTTCTTCTCCGCTATCAAAGCTGTCTACGGTCCGCCGACAAAGGGCACTGCTCCTCTCCTCAGCGCAGACGGTAGTACTCTCCTGACCAAGAAGACGCAAATTCTGCTGCGATGGGCCGAACATTTCCGAAGCGTCCTTAACCGCCCTTCCACCATCTCTGACGCCGCTATCGACCGTTTGCAGCAAGTGGAGACCAACGTGGACCTCGACCTCCCGCCATCTCTCCAGGAAACGATCAGGGCCGTGCAGCAGCTCTCCAGCGGGAAAGCACCCGGATCGGACGCAATCCCTGCTGAGGTCTTCAAGCACGGAGGTCCCCAACTCATGTACCACCTGACTGCGCTCTTCCAGGAGATGTGGCGTCAAGGTGAAGTCCCGCAAGGTTTTAAAGACGCAACCATCGTGCATCTCTACAAGCGAAAAGGGAATCGCCAAGTCTGCGACAATCACCGTGGCATCTCCTTGCTGAACATCGCCGGGAAGATCTTCGCTCGAATCCTCCTTAACCGTCTCAATAACCATCTGGAACAGAGCCTTCTGCCGGAGAGCCAATGCGGCTTCCGTCGTCATCGCGGGACCACGGATATAATCATCGCCGCCCGTCAAATTCAGGAAAATTGTCAGGAGATGCGGACCCACCTGTACTCTACCTTCGTGGACTTGACGAAAGCCTGCGAAATGATCAATCGCGAAGAACTGTGGAAGATCATGCAGAAATTCGGCTGTCCGGAGCGATTCACTCAGATTATGCGTCAGCTGCACGACGGTATGATGGCGCGAGTCACGGACAACGGAGCTGTCTCAGAAACATTCACAGTGACCAACGGAGTGAAGCAGGGATGCGTGCTGGCGCCAACCCTCTTCAGTCTTATGCTCTCTGTCATGCTGATGGACGCCTACCGCGACGAACGCCCCGGGATCCGCATCGCCTACAGGACGGACGGTCACATTCTGAATCAACAACGGATGCACTTCCAATCGCGCGTCTCCATAAGCACTGTTCACGAACTTCTCTTCGCCGACGACTGCGCCCTGAACACCACCTCGGAAGAGGAGATTCAGCGGAGCATGGACCTGTCCTCCGCCGCCTGCGAGAACTCCGGTCTGGTCATTAACACGCAGAAGGTGGTGATGCACCAACCGCCACTCCACTCAGTCACAGCCCCCAACGCGCCGCCGCAAATCAGCGTGAACGGAACCCAACTGCAGGTGGTGGAGAACTTCCCGTACCTGGGCAGTACTCTCTCCCGCAACACCAAGATCGAAGACGAGGTCGCCAACAGGATCTCGAAAGCCAGTCAAGCCTTCGGTCGCCTCCAAAGCACAGTTTGGAATCGCCACGGTCTTCAGCTAAGCAGGAAGCTGAAGATGTACAAGGCCGTCATCCTGCCGACACTACTGTATGGAGCGGAGATTTGGACGGTGTACGCAAAGCAGGCACGTCGTCTGAACCACCTCCACCTCAGTTGTCTTCGTCGCATCCTGAGGCTGAAGTGGCAGGATCGAATCCCCGACACTGATGTGCTGGAACGGACGGGAATCCTCAGCACCTATGCCATACTGAGGCAAATTCAGCTGCGCTGGAGCGGCCACCTGGTGCGCGGGGACGACGAGCGACTACCCAAACGACTCTTCTACGGAGACGTCGCGACGGGTTCTCGCCGTCAAGGAGTCCGGATTCGCCGTTACAAGGATGCCCTGAAGTCCTCCCTGAAATGCCTGCAAATCAACCCCACCAACTGCGAGGAGCTCGCACTCGATCGACCGACCTGGAGGAGGACAGTGAAGACAGGAGCTGCGATCTACGAAGCCAACCGCATCGTTGCCGCCAAAGCGAAACGGGAAGTCCGCAAATCACAACTTCGCCCAGTACGCAACGCCGCCGCACAACCGCTTCCAACGTGTCCTCGATGTCAACGGACATTCCGGGCTCGAATCGAACTTGTTGGACATCTTCGGATTAACTACGCCTCTCGAACGGCACCAACCATCGTCCCTCCGCCTGCCTCTTCCTCCTCCTCTCCGCCGCCAACTAACTCTGACAATTCTTCTGACCCACCACTTCCATCATCCTCCTCCTCCTCCACCTCCTCCTCCTTCTTCTTCTCCTCCTCCTCCTCCTCCTCCTCCTCCTCCTCGCCCACTGCTCCAACGGCGGCCGCTCAGGCGACTGTCCCGCGCACAACAACCGACACTACCACCACCTCCCCCGACCCCAGCGATGAGGATCAGGACTACACCTGCCCTCACTGCGACCGTACCTTCACCTCACACATCGGCCTGGTCGGTCACTTGTGAATCCATCGCACAGAGGCTGGCGAACCAGTGCGTGAAGCACCAACCTACACCCACCGCACTCGCCTCCACTGCCCACACTGCCCTCGCACCTTCAGGCATCGCATGGGCCTTTACGGCCACATGCGCATGCACGAGAGCGGCCTTGACCGCATTCCCGACACACCCACCACATCCAACACATCCACCGTGCACACCCCCACCCTCGCTCCATCCGTCCGCGCCACCACCACCGCCTCCTCTGTAGCTGACACTGACACCGCCGACTTCTAATGCCCACACTGTACACGCACATTCACCTCACGCATCGGCCTGGTCGGTCACTTGCGAATCCGTCGCACAGGGACTGGCGAACCAGTGCCCGGAGCACCAACCTATACCCACCAAGCTCGTCTCAACTGCCCACACTGCCCTCGCACTTTCAGGCATCGCATGGGTCTATTGGGCCACATGCGCATCCACGACGACCTGCGGTAGACAACCGCCGGTCACACCACACATTCACTCACTCACTCCCTACCTCCTCCACCACCACCATCACCCCATCAGAAATCAACACTCACACACCTTATGCACCCAACTGCCATCTCCCACGCAAGTGGGAAGTCCGCATCTCGACTTGGTCCCCATGCGGCTTCGGCTGCACGGGTGACTTGAGTCCGAGACTATCCCGACACGTCAAGCGTCGTGGATAGGAAGGTTGCTGATTGACGCCCGCTCTCGGTTCACGCAGTTCGTCGCGTTGTGTGTGTGTGTGTTGTGTGTGGAGTGGCGGACTGGTGGGCTGGGGACGGGCTGAAACAGCACCTTCCACGGCACTCTCACGCAAGTGAGAGACACGCAGTTCAACCCCCGTTGTGTGAAATCCTGATGTTGTGTGTATGGGGGGGCCAGGTCGTGCCGTGGCGCGCGCAGTTATGGTCAGTCGACATGCACACACACGCACACACACATGAATTTCTCGCTAATGAAAATGCACTCTATTTTGGAGGATATGTCTACGTGAAAATGTGGACGAATTGCGCGCCTAAACCACCCATTGCTTGAAGTGAGCCTCGGTGATGCCTATGAAGTAATCTGAGTTTGGACGCATGGTTTGGAACGCTTGTTAGAACGTCAGCCCCACCCGGTCGTCCTACAGATGCCACGATGGACTTCCTAGCATACAACTGAAAGAAAAACATAATTCTAAGGTGTTCTGATGTCCTACGTTGGCGACGATATGCGTAAGGCCATCCACATTCTACGCCATGTTCTCGTCTCTTCATGAAATTGAACATTTTAGTTCGAAAAATTCCATTAGTTACCTGTAGTAACACATTACCTCTGCAGAGCATGGAGGGCGTAAGCAGCCGGATGAGATTGGACGCTAGAAAATAACTTTTGAAATACCTACTAGGTAAAGTAGTAACTAGGACGATGTGTAATTTAAACAGTTTGTGCCCTTTTACTGACAGAAGTCGCTTAGACACGTACCTCGTCGAAAAAGTTCTACAGACAGATAGGCCTTTGATCTCCGTAGATTTTCATTGGTTTTTTCATCAATCTCGTGGATCATTAGTTTAGATAATTATGTTTGTCCAGTCGCCTTGGATAGTTAGCTTCTTATTTGTATATGCAATAACTCAACCACACGTATTTTAACTACGTTTAAGGGGGTCTGGTGGAAAGTGTGAAATTCATTGTAGCTTTCAATCAGTGACTGGAGATTTTCTGACTTGTGTGGGTAGTCTGTCGACTCTAAGAAGTTCTCATTATTTCTGTCCGTATTGCCCTTTCCCAAGTAGACAACTTTTCTTACCTACAATCTAACCCATGTACATCGTTCGCATACTTTGTAAGCAATCATTACCTCAATCAGAGATGTTTCCAAACGCTCTTAGCTCGACAAATCAGGATAAAAGTACACATACTCAGTATTAATTGCCCTCTAAAGCTGTTCTACAGTCGCCAAAATTTTGTTTTGGGGACAGCGTGTGGAAATCGGGTGGCAGTTGCCTTCATTATCTTTGAAGCTAATTAACCAATGCTCTGAAGTCTTCCACAGAGTTCCGTAATACCTAACTCTAAGTCCCTTTGTAGCCAGTTTGCTTAACTTTGATAACTGTTAGCCTGATACATGGATCTCCGAAAACTCATTGTTTCGTGTTAGTTAGTAGCTCATCCGGAATCCAACTTTTTCTAAGTTACATGTTCTTTAGAATCTACTCGCTTGGGGTAGTTGCCTGTTGCTTCTTCTTCACAATGGAAAACTGAAGTCGATAATCCTGCCGGAAACGAACCGCAGGTGATTAGCATATATTTGTCGTAGCGGGTAATGGAACTGTCTACGATTATTTGCGACTCATCTTATGCTCAAGCTGCCTTTTTCACACCTATTTATTTTCCATCAATCAGGCAGCTCAGTTTTCTGAACATTAAATACTCAGTGACCAGCGTAAATTGCTCTGTGGATTCTATTGACAGACAGAACTTCAGGTCCAACACATTTCTCACTTCAAAGGCAGAAATAAGGTCGAAATTACGTGATCGTTGCCCCTTCCTTACACTTGTTGTCAAAATAATTTTCTGACGG